TTCCCTTCTGGGAATCCATGCTCAAGCTCGCCAGCTTTTGCTTCTTGTCTTGAATATGCAACATTTTCTCCTCAAAACTCTTATTCATAATAAATCGTACTGTCTGTACCTCTCTCTTTTGACCCAATCGATGTACACGATCAATAGCTTGAGCTTCAGCTGCAGGGTTGAATTGAGGTTCCATGACATAGACCTTATTAGCTGTGGTGAGATTAAGACCGAGGCCACCTGCAGCGATGGAAACTAGAATAACAACGATTGATGGATCATCGCGAAATTTCTCCATTGCCATTGAGCGAGCGATACGAGTCATTTTACCATCGAGACGTGTGTAAGGAATATTATTCTCCTGCAAAGCGAGTTGAATAAGGTCAAGATGAGTTGTCCAGCCAGAAAAGACAACACTTTTGATGGGTGGCTCGTTCGGTCTTGCTTGTGATTCCCTTCTAGATGCCAAAAGATCATGGATTAAAGCTATTGTCTTAGTATGAGGTCCACCATAATTTGATAAATCCTTGCCTGCTTTTGCCGATTCCTTGGTTTTCAATCGGGATTCTTCTTCCTTGTCTACTTCCTCCTGTTTCAGAGAAAAGAACATAGACGGAGAGATTTGTTGGTGACAAGTAGGACATCCGACTAAAGAACCACCAAAAGCCATCTCTTCCAATTGAGATTTGTAAGCACCAATGCACAAGCCACAAATGATATGGAAACATGGTGTCATGTATCCGATAACTTCTTCCTTAGATTCGCCATCAGAATCGACAACATCCTGAGAGCCAATCTTCCGATTGCACGTCAAGCAACTATCTGTGCCTGTATCCCTCATCAACTTATACATTTCATAAGCCTGTTTGGGTGTCATTCCATCTTGATCTTCGTATTCTTCACTATCAAGATCGATAGCGGAATCCTTGCTTAGACCATTCATGATTTTCAAGTCCTCAGGACTCAACAAGTCCTTGCCATGAGCGCAGACTTGACGAAGACGCAATATTGATTGCAAAATGTGATGAAAGGTTTTGCCTCCCAATGCACTTTCTCCCTGAGAAGTAATAACTTTAAGCCTATCTGTTGCATTCTTTTCGAAGATATCATAGACCATACGCTCTTCATCACTGAAATCTAGCCTAGCAATCTGATCATGACGCTTAGGAAGATCAATTTTGTCTTTGAGTCGACGAAGAGTAATGCTGTCGACTAACAATCGAAGTTTGGGAATGATTTCAGGATCGCATATCTTGAAAGGGGATAGTATATGTTGGGCAAACCCACTTCCGTTGAATGGTTTGACGCGAAGGAAATTCATCAAAGCACCTAGGTCCTCAAGTCGATTCTGAACTGGTGTACCTGTGCATGCCCATCGACGCTGTGCTGAAAGCCTACAAATAGCCTTGAATTGCAAAGTTGATTGTTCCCGAATCATATGAGCTTCGTCGAGTACAATTCGAAACCAATTCATCTCCTCGAGAGGATATTTACCATCTTTCTTTTTGTTCCTGTTATTGCATTCGCTAGCGACAGAACCATATGTAGTAATGACCATATCATACTCTGACAATTTCGTAACATCTTTGATACGATTAGCGCCATGATAGATATAATACTTCAAAGCATCGGGTTTGATATGTGCCTTGATCTGATCTTCCCAATTGGAAATGACACTGAGCGGAGCAACTAAAAGGGTAGTTTTGCAGTTCAAAGCGAGAGTTGCGGGTTCAAACTTGGGCTGAGCGGCAGCCTTGCCTGATTTAAGAACTGGCTGCTCTCTCTGGTCGGATTGTAATGGTCTTTGCTTCGCCCAGTCTCTTGAATCGTCCAGTGTTGTAGCTACCAAGGAGAGAATGCTGAGAGTTTTGCCAAGTCCCATCATATCGGCAAGAATTCCACCAAGTACCTGTGGTGGACTTTTACGTTCCTCATCACCGGTGATAACATTGTAATATATCCTCTGCCCATTATTCCCATGTCTAAGTTTCCACAAATCGCATTTATCATTTATCTCATAATTTCGTTCCTTTTCTCTATTTATCATGAAGTAGAGACCCTGTTTTTGATGTTTGAGCAGCTCCGTAGTAATCAAAGAACTTGGCTCCATCTCTGGTAAATTTTCAGATCTCGGCAATGAGTCGAAAACTCCCAAAACGTCATTTCGAATTTCTTCTGTTGTCCGAACGGGGGCCTGAGAACGAGATGCGTAAGATGAGTATGTACTAGACGTGGGCTGTAAGGCCCTTGAAGGCTTCTCTATAGCATGAGGATTGTGCAATGGAATGCCGGCTTCTACAGAAAGTGGGGTTCGTAACCACAATTGCTTGTGAGAGAGGTGCCGACCAATTTGAAGAGCGTGCTTTTTTGGTCCGTAAAGATTCAAATCCAAATTATAACGAACAGAGCATGGGGAACCCACTGGCTGATCATCAGGCGTCTTTCTTCTTGTAAGAATACGGGCAGCTGTTCTGACACCCATTTTTGGGGAGTCGAGGATGGGTGCGAGTCCAATTGCAGTATTCACATCGACACAGCCAATAATTTCGCGAGTACAATCGAGAGCGTGGATATTATTCGTCTTATCCCCTTCCTTCCTTCTCAAGACAATCTTTATCTGCGGCCAGTTCTCGGGTATAAGTGATTGGGCTCCAGGTTTTGGGGTTGGTACTCGATGAGCGTTGAGTTGAGATCCTTCAATACGTCCGTAGCAAACTTCCCTATCCTGCTCATTCCCGACAACTACAACATCATCGTCATCCACTAAAGATAAGTCGAGTACTTGTTTGGTACAACCATCCTTCGAGCCTTCAACTCTCCTGTTTTTCACATATTGTCCGTATGCACCTCCACTAGAACTTCCATTAAATTGTGCTCTGCTTCCCTCCCCAGTCAAGTCTTCTACTCTTCGGCGTTTTTGAGGTACCATGTCGCGATCTGTAATATTATGCATTCGATCCACAAAACTTCCCATGCCCGGCATCTGCCCACTTGGGTTTGCGTATGATGCAAAGCCATTCTGGCCATTCGAGTTCGAGTTCACGTTATAATTCGAGTTCGAGGGAGGTGACGGCGTATACGATCCGCCGGGGGTGTCAAACTGAAATAGAGGCTGAGAAGCAGATGCTGCTGGTGAAATTCTTGGTCGGGGATGAGGCGATAAATTGGGCGAGGGTCGTGAGTTTTGATTAACGCTTCGAGGATTTAGCAGTTGCGCGGGACTCCAATTTTGGGCATTTGTGGCATGACCGTTCGAAAGTGGTATACCGGGATTGTTCTCATTTTGATTCGGTCTTGATCTTGGAGGGTTTTGGCCTTGTGCGACAGAGAGATTGTAAGTAACAGGTTTATCAAAATCGGTAGGGTAATTTGGGTGTAGGTCTGAACTTCCAGATAGTTTGCCTTGGTGTGTATGTAGGGACTCTCCGTTTGCGAGGATTGGGAAATTACCAGAGAAGTTGCTATTCATTGAGGCCATAATTCTCCTTTATGGTAGATAACCTTGAATATTCGTCACGGTCGCATGCATTAAGTTGTGTGTTGTATGTACTGTTTGTGTGTATGGTTATGATGTGGTTGTAATGGTAGGTAGTTGTAAATTGAGCCGATAAATTCACAGGAGGGGCAATATTTATCACTAGGGAGGATTGTGCAAAAGTAAGTAGGAAAAAGAAAAAGTCGATGGAACTAAAATCATCGGAATGTGATCATTCTGTTTGATCTTCACTGAATTTTTTTGAGTTTCGTGAATACCTAGGCATTTATAGAATTTCTTATGTGTGAATGAGTAATGAATTTATTATTATATAGGTAGGTGAAAGTACGAAGGAGAGCAGACGTATGGATATGTACGGAGTAGGGATGTGGGAGAGAGAGGAGGCACAGCGATAGATGTGATAGAAAATTTCCGTAAGTCTTGAGGTACAAAGCAATTAGTAAGCAACGATATATCATTTTTAATAGGAAAGTTTTTCAAGTTATTTACCTAGATAGGTATGTAGGTATATTTGATACCAAAACAGATACCTAATTAAGTAGCTTTCAATCATATGAGAGTTTACTTATACAACAAAGCAGGTTCGAGATGTTTCGGCTGCTGCTTAGGTATGTTCGACGAGCTTCATCCATAGTATACCTAGGTAGGCTCGGTAGGTAGTCTCAGCGCACTAATGACATTGTTCACGTGCATAAACATCCTAATACATCGCCATCTCCCATTCTCATGCCCCCGGTGATTCATGTTCCCATTCTTAAATCACCTTCATCATAATCAAAAGAAGACTAAATATGACTGTAGTCGAGTTATCTAACTAGATTATCAAGTATTCATTTCTCACGTCTTCGGTAAATCACGTGACTATTCACCGGCCTCCGATAACTTGGTCGCCTAGTTCCCAGCGAGCCCAGTTAGTAAAAGCGAGTGTCCCTTTACTTAGGACTGTATTGCCTTCAGAATTAAATTATTAGAAACTACTAGGTATACTAATAGATATGTCACTCTCATCGAGCTAATTACAATGACATGAAGGTTATTATTCTAGCTCAACTCCGAACTCCTCATGGACTTGATACCAATGTTACGGAACACTCGCTTAGGACACTCGCTTTCACTAACTGGGAACGAGTCGGCGTTAACAAAAGCCGACTACGACATGAAGGTTTCGATGAGATGATCCAGCGGATAGCGTTTGTAACCTCAGAACCTCAATGATATCTTGTCGAAAATTCGTTGCCGAATTCTCTTTCAAATCGCGATGAGCTGAATTCGACACCTGTTCGTTCCCCTGGAGTCAAATTCAAAAAGCAGTCACCCTTTATATATTTGCTAAGCTCTGTACTTGAAGAGCAAGATATAAGCAGCTTAAAGATCGCTCGCATATCGGTCGCCTCTCGAAGCTCTAAACAAGAATCCACCACCAGTTCCATATCTTTGAAATGAGGGCCACGATGATCACAGTAAAAATCTATGCCATCTATGATACACAGCACTAAACGCAAAATTCGGCAAGAAAATGGCAATATTTGGCGATCCAGAACCCAAAGATCTCTCTACTGCTGTAGGCTCTGATGGTCAGCCACCATATACGATTATTGAAGGACGCTCAAACGAACCTGCAAAAAAGACGGAGGCTGACTCAGCATCAGATCATTCCCCCGAAGCAGACAGCCTAGATCTTAATTCTGAGGCTGCATTTAACGAACTCGGTTGCTTGATTGAATTTATTGATCACTATATCAAAGATTAAAAAAAAGTATTTAGCAAGCAGATCTTTCCAAAAGGTTGTTTTTAGTGACATTTGGCATCTCTTTAAACCCGGAGATGAAGTTATAGAGGGGAAACTCCTGCAAGTCTACCGAGTCGTCAGCGTTAATTCTAGAGTGCAGCATATAAGGTTAATCAGGACATCTCAAAGGCAAGACTATTCCAGAATGACTATCCATAGTCCTGTCACCATCCACTGTGTTTGTATAGATTATGACGGCAAACGCATTGGTCCGGTTTCGAAGCGTTTCACAATACAACAGTATGAAGGAGAATATAATGTCACCTCACTGCCAGTGTATCCACTCCGTTTCCGAAAGGAGATGAATCGTGAAGGGCTGATTCGCTAGAGGCCAGCTCTTTCTTGAGACAGCAGGTGTGAAACACATGCACTGTTCTGGACTCACCCTTGACACACGAGACGAGGTTGATAGTCAGGCAATGATTGATTTCGAAGAAGCTCTGCTTCAGCAAGAAAGCTGGGTACCCTCTGTTGAAAATCTAGCAGACACTGCTCTATACTCAGAAGACGAAAATGAGAAAATACCGGATATTTTCGACCCCGATGCAAGGCGTTACAGAAATCAGGAATGGGTCGGCGATTCATATGTTGATCGTAATCGCAAAGAAATTTTCATTGAAAGCAAGTATTCCGCTGTCAGTTGGAGGCATTCATCTTTAATGATTGTCCCATGAAGCCTACAAGAGGCTCGAGGTGACAATCTGCCGAGTCAAGACGAGTTATTGATCATGTCATACCGCGTGTTTGGCTTTATTTTACGCAGTCGAAAATGGGGTATACTTTCTGTCTCTACCTCTATTCTTCTCAGTTAAATCAGCATGGAGCTAGACTAATTGTTTTGCAGCAAAGTTGAATCTTGGAGATGTTACCGAGGTGAGGCAAGTTGATGATAAGGATGGCTTCGACCAATTGGTATTACCAAAGGGCCATAAGGATATGGTGAAGTGTCTAATCAGACAGCATTTCAGAGAGAAGGAGTCGAAGCTGGCAGATAAGGATGAAATGGATGTAGTGCGTGGGAAAGGTATGAGCTCCCAGTAATATATAAACTGTGCTGTACCTAACGCAATGCTGTTAAGGTAAAGGATTGATCATGCTCTTGCACGGAGCACCTGGGGTGGGCAAAACTTCCACAGCAGGTATTTTAATCTTTGCTTTACCTGTACTCGAATAGAGAGATCATACTAATACCGTTCTTCCCATAGAATGCGTAGGAGATTCTTTTCGAAAGCCTTTATTCCAGATCACTTGCGGTTGGTACCGACAATCACAATAATAGCTTAAGAAAAGAACTATGACAATGATGCAGGAGATCTTGGATCAGAAGCCGCTGAAGTCGAAGCAGCACTCGAAACTAATTTTTCGCTTGCAAACAGATGGGGCTGTATTCTGCTGATTGACGAAGCAGATATCTTCTTGGCAGAGAGGACTAGGCACGACTTTCTGCGCAATGCCCTTGTAGTGGGTATGTTGTGCCGTGAAACGAATTTCCTTTAAATACTAAAAAATTTCTAGTTTTTCTGCGTGTTTTGGAGTACTACGCAGGCATCCTTTTTCTTACCACGAATCGGGTTGGTGCTTTCGATGAGGCGTTCACGTCCAGGATTCACGTCAGTCTGTACTATCCACAACTTGATTGGAATTCCACCCTGGAGATATTCAAAATGAATATGCAACGGGTGAAAGATAGATTTGTGAAGAGAAACAGAAATTTAAAGATCGATGAGGCGGATATTGGTGCTTTTGCAAGGAGTTATTTTGACGAGTATAGGGAATGGAGATGGAACGGACGTTAAATCCGGAATGCATTCCAAACAGCACTCGCTCTTGCCGAATACGATGCTCAAGGAGACGGTGATTCTACAAGTCTCACTGACAACATCAACAAACAAGTAATTTTAAAGGGAAGTCATTTTGAAACAGTTTCCGAAGCGTACCTTGGGTTTGTTAATTACCTGAAAGAAGTGAATCATGGGGTGGGTACGTCCAAGAGAGCTCTTGACAGGAGTTATCGAGACGATGAATTTGGAGAGCCCAAGAGTTCAAGTTGGAGTCGTATTGGGGCACGAAGAGGGAGTGTCCCGCCAATACCACTAGTAACATCAAATCCTCGCCTTCCATCCGATCAAAATTTTCGGGACGATCGCCGTCAACAGTTTGGTAGAAAGATGCCTTCATGTGTACCAGTTAACGATTATGACCAGTCATATCACGTTAATCATTATCAAGATCCATGCTTGAGTCTGAATCTTGTCGATAGACGACAAGCTCAGCCAATGGAGCTAAATCGCGGCAGAGACTTCCCGCAGAATGCCTATAGCTTCCGAGAAGACCCCAACGACAGGGGTGACCTAAGTCGGAACTATACCACCACTAGCGAGGGTGGAATGAGGATAGCTCAACAACCCAGTCAAACTCATCAAGGCCCGCAAGCCTGGTCTATATCGGACAGAACGGAGAGAAATGATGGTTCCAACTATGTAAGCTATGTATCGGATCCAAACACGTCTGGTATGGAAAGAAGAGGGTTCCATCCCGAGGATAGATATGACAACCAATCAAGGCTTCCTAGTAGGGGGGCTGACAACCAGAGAACGAATTCTGGAGGATTTCAAAACGCAACCAGTCAAGGTTAAGACGATTAGATGACATGAAATTGCCACCACACACTCTTGCTAGCCTAGTTTACAAAGCTACATGAATACAGCTTAATTATCCTTTTCTTTTTCGAATCCTTTCTTTTCGCTAGTGAAATGAGCTCCCTCGTTTTAAATACCCTTCCGCATGGTTTTCTGTTTGTAAGTATTTGAGTTGCATCTAACAATCCATTCAGTATAGACGGCTGTTCACCTGTCCTAATCCGTTCTTGCTATAACTACCCAGACATTCTACCTCCTACTTCCCACTTCTTACTTCCTACTTCCTATCTCGTACACCACAAAAAGCGCATCAACAAGCCATCCTCATTACTTCTTTCCCTTTTTCTTCTCCTTTCCTTTCCCTCCGAGTTCCCTTCTACATACACACACCATCACCACCCAAACAAACATCTCTTACTAGCTACTCAAGAAGTTCCCAGAGACCCACCTACCTACCACCAACCCCTAAACCCCAGCCATTTCAAAACTCACAACCTCACAACCTCACCAACCCAGAAAAAAAGTCAAAGAACAGGATTTTCACACTATTCCCACTCCCCATCCAATTCGAGGAGAAATACGAACAAAGAAAATAGCTTAGTACTACTTGGTACTACTTAGTAATCAATAAATTCCATCCATCCACCTCATCAAGATCTATTTTTCATTTCCGTCAGCCTAATCAACTTTGAATTTATAGGTTTATCAAATAACAATAATAATAACAATAACGGGGTATCAATATCAATCCCAACATCAATCACGCTCAATCTAATAAGACTTTCCTACAAAACTTCAGATACCTAGGTAGGTAGTCATCAATTGCCGAAAAAGGATGAAAAAGAATAACACAAAAATCTTGATGTTTCAAATATATTTCATTCATTGTAAGCGAACGGCATACCAACCAATTTCATAAAAATCATGCTACCCCCTTGTCCCATATGATTACTGCCCCGAAGATGTCTATCTCCAGACTATTTTGACGCCCATTTGCAAAAAAATAAAAATCATGCGCCGCCTTCCGAGAAATAATATACATATTCGTACTCATTTATGCCTTTGCGGATCATCATTCCTTTTCCCCATTAACACCATGTAAAGACGGGGTTTTTGCTTTTGACTGTTTCAAGTCTCTCTACTATAACCTTCCTTTGATTACCCTCCATCCCTTCAGCTGCTGCATATCCCAAGTCCCCCTCAAGATCATCACCATCATACAATGTCTGAACAGCTCCACGACTCCTCGAGCTAAATGAGAATCTTCTCGATTCAAAATGGTTGCCGTTTGGTGACCTTGCAGGCCCATCATAACTCATACGATTTCTAGAATGTTGAAGGTGTGGTCGATCTGAGAATCTCACTCCATCCTTGGAAGTATTATCTCGAGAGAATCCTGTATTTGCAAATGTTGGCTCAGAAGACTCGAGGTCGGGGGAAGGCTCTTCGCTATATCGTGGACTAGCTAACTCGAATCGGTTTGGATTTGGTAATTCTGTAGATGGACTTGCAAGTCCAAGAAGATCTGGTTGCGGTGCTGGCGCATTGGCGGCACTAATATCCATTTCTTCATCAAGGCTATTGCGAGCCTCATTACGTCTTCGCATTTCTGCAGAAGGCACCCTCATAGGAACCGCAACAGGTATATCAACAAGATCATCCCAGACACAAACTCTTGGTCTTCGAGTCAACTCTAACGGACCGTGGTCTACCGTTTTGAGGGTTTCGACGACATTCCAAGCTTGTCCTTTCATGACAGCAATTTGTCTAGCGAACATGCGTTCTTGAAAATCTGCATCTTGACTGAATACCTTTCTCAACTCTAGCTGAGTCTCGCTCCACCATTGCTTCGAAGTCAGCAAGGGAAGAAAGTGTTCTCGAGTTTTTTGAGAAAATGGTTGTCCAATCAGTGATACAGGTAAGAATAACCATCCAAAGGGAAAACTTCGCCAAGCATCAGGATGCTTCCAAGGCCACGATAAACTATTATCAATCGCACCAATAGATATGGTTGGTGCTGCCATTCTAGATGGTGTAGCCGATCTACTTGTAGCTTCCATAGGCTCTTGACTACGGTAGGGATATGCCGGTAGATGAGAAATATTGATGTTATCAGAGCTAGAAACCACTCGTGGTGCATGTTCTGAGTCTGGATTGGTCCTCATTTGAGGAGGGTCTGAAACGATAGAAACGCCCTGATTTTCCCAGTCGATTTTGATCATCCAATTATCAAGGCCTCTGTCCGTATTTCGCATTATATAATCTAATATAACCAATTTCTCCAACTCCTCTCGAAATGATTGTTGTAATGCATCTGTCCAAGCAAAACGTCGATTTTGATTACCATCTCCAGATCCGGTAGGACTGCTAGCCCCTGCCCCTTCGTTACCCTCGTCTGACTTTGATGAACCTGGACGGCAAGTCTCTTTCCACCCTCTTTTGTTTCTGTGAGTATCGTTCATTCTAAATGCTCCATTTGCATGATCTGGCCAAGGGTGTTCACGGAGAAAGATATTCGCGTCCTTGAAACCTTTGAGGAAGACTTGGAAACTGCCAACCTTTGGAGGTAGAGGCTTTTTACTCCTGTAAAACTTCCTTCGATCCCAAAAATCATAATGGAAAGATTTCGAAGACAAGTGAACTATGTCGGTGTAGGGCACAAGGTGAGTTCGTAACCTACAGTCAAGCGTGTATGCTGCAGCTTCGGAAACATAACTCAAATTGGGAATCAGACATGCTCTGCCAAAGAAGCATGGAAATAAATTGCGATGAATCCATTTATTCCATTTCGGATTTCCTGCGGCGTACGGTTCCTCATCCTTCGGTTTGAACACACCGACTACTTTTCCATCACTATTTCGAGCAAAATAACTTCCAGAACTACCCTGAGATATCATTTTCGGATGCATACCCTGCTCAATCGCAACTCGAACACTTTCAACAACCTCCTCAAATTCCGATTTAGTCATTCGTCCATGATCGGGCTCCGATGCTAAAGTATCAGCAGTAACGGGTCGCATGCCTTCCGGTGCTTGAAAAACCGAGTGCTGGATTTCCAATTTTTCCTCCTGATGTGATTTCCCTTTTACTTTATTGATTTTAAACTTGGACGCTATCTCGTCGGCCCATCGTTCTAATCTAGCATTTATAGCTTTGATGTCCACGCCGGAGGCATTGCTTCCCATACGACTTCGCCTTCTCGTATGCCCAAACTTTCGATTATTTGTGGGTGAACTGTATCCATCTGTATACATTCCACCATGCGGTCGAGGTTGTGAAATAGAGGCATATCGTGGTGCGGTTGCTGGTTGTAAGGAAGCATGGCTGGCAGCGAGGGGGTCCTCATCTTCGTCATCGCTGAACTCTTCGGCTTGGGCAATTTGGGCATAACCCGTGGTAGCTGGTCGAAATCTTGGCATATTAAGTATGGTATTTAATTAGTATTGAAGTCGCCATGAAGTAGAATTGTTTATTTATGGTTATGAGGCATTTCCAGGAGCGGTGGAACTAAGCATGTTACAAGCTCTAGATTCACAACATGCCAGGTAGTCACCGTGGCCCCGGGTCGCGTCACTTATCAACATCCTTATCCAATCAAAAGGGTGGAGAACACAAGGCTGAAAGATTTATCCCCAAAGATGTCAAATCATGAAGAAACACGATGATTGATAAACTTGTGTCGATTGATATTCAGTACTAGGTACACTACTCGAGTAGTAGGTATAATTATCTAGACTGGATATTCGATGTCAAATGGAGTCAATTGGATTGAACACCATACCATCAATCCAGACATTGTAACGATGATTGAGTTGAATTGATTTCTATGATCTTGAGGCTTTGCGAATTTGATATCTTCTCGTACAATTGAGACATTGGCCAACGCCCTTACGATGCTGCCATAATCTCCTTTACTATCTTTGCGACCTCCCCCTTTTCTACATTCTTTTCTCCCAATACTTCAGGAGCAAATACTCTCTTCAACACATCTCCCATTTGCATCTTTGCTCCCTCGGCTTTCATGCCATTGACAAGATCCTTGACTGTATTTCTGATCTCTTCCTCACCAACCGTCTCAACACCACTAGCATATTCTTCCAAGACCTTCAATTGTTGTTCTTCCTTCTCAACGAGGTCTTCTCTACCTGCTGCCTTGAATTCTTCACTTGCAGCTCGGCTGGCATTCGCAGTTTTTCGGAGAAGAGCCAACATTTGCATATCGGTATTGATAGGTGAGGAAGTTTTAGAGGCATTGAGTGTTTGACTGAGGAGTGATCGAAGGACTGAGAGTCGGTTGCTATCTTTATTTTTCATGGCAGTCTTCATATCATTCCTATTACCAGACTGATATTAGTACAATTGCCCCCTCTAAACAAGAATAACGAATGTCATGTCGTGTGTACTGTGTGTACTGACCTGATCTTCAAGAGCATAGGCGGAAGGGTACTGGCAGAGCTTGCATAGCAGCGGCAGTAAATCCTCGAAGCTCTCACAGCTGGTCGTGAAAACATTGTCGATATGGGTGAGGGAATTTTGAGAATTTAAATATTTGGTAAAGGGAACTTGCAAAAAGTGATTCCCGTCTTAAAATTGAAGGTATTTTGTATTTTTGATTCAAGTCCACTCACTGTCTGCGAAGAAAACGAGGCTCGCCAAATTTATTTTCCCCGAAGCTGCGCTGCCTCATACATCACATAACACAACATTTGAATGAACGGACACCTACCTAGGTAGCTACGTCAATTGTATAGCACGACAGTTGTTTGTTACTTTGATACAGATATATTTGGATTATAATTGTCTATCCAGTATGTTATCATGGATGTGAATATATAGTTAGTGCATACATTCTCGTGCGGACTATGTCAACCCAAACATAAAGCCGTGAAACAAAACAGTTCTTTGATTCGTCAAACTCCCCTTTTAGGTGATCGTCAACTTCCCCGCATCTACTCATCACATATGAAGAGGGATGGTTGATCAGTTATTATATTATTGTTGTATATCTATTCGTACCTATCATGGTATTCTTTTCAAAACGAAAAAGAAATATCATCTGAACTACTAATGATTTGAAAGACCATAATTCGTTTGCTTATGTCTAATTCTTTATCAACTCAAAATATCTAAAATCGATTCCTTGCATGAACACCCTTCTTCGAGATCCAACGTCCTACTACTTCAATAACAGAGCTCTGTCTGCTCTACATATTTGATCCTACCACCATACTTTGATATGTCTCTTGATACTGTGCCACTATATAATCAACATTGAACCACTAACATTTTGACGTTCGCTGGCACCAGTCACCATCAACTTATCGTTCAGCCTCTGACCTCCGACCACTCATAGAGAGACGGACGATCACTCTTTATACACAATCTTTCATGTATACTATATCTTCGAGTATTACTCAAGGAACAAACTAACAAAAGAACATAGTTGACTGATTACCCAACATCAATCACAATAGACGACTTTACCTCCAAAGCTCGAACCTTGCAAACTGGATCACCAGAACTGTATCGAGACAAACAAACAAACTCCTAACATACATACAATTCCTCCAACTCCATCGTAAAAATGACACTTATTGACCCTCGCCCCGCAGCCCATCCACCTTCCAACGAACCTTCCCCTCAGCGTGGTCGTAAACGTCGCCGCTCTTCTGCTGCTTCTCCACCACCCATAATAACCAGTACATCCACGAATTTTCGAGGTCGAGTTCGTCATCGATCACCTCAGACATCTCACCTAACAACCTCCTCACCATTGCCAGTATCCTCACCCCTCAACCCCAAATCAACAAACGCAAACGCAACCATGACCCCCCTTACAGCCACAGCCCACAAAACCAAATACCAAAAGACTCACGCTACAGCAACGACAACGACCACGACTCCCTCCCCATCATCATCTCTTTTTCTTTGCTCTCCACGCTCAAAGACCCTGAGAGGTCAATCACCCTCCCGCTCTCGTAGCAAGGGTCACTCAGCCGATAAGGAGATTCCAAGGAGAAGACAGAGAACAAGAAGTAGAAGTCGATCTCACAGGGTTGCGATTGATGAAAAGGATAGCAGCAAGGGAAAAATGAAAGCTTTATCCGGCACAGAAAGAGCTTGAGATATAGGAGACTTGGAGTTTCATTGATTTAATTCGCGGAAAGATACCCACTTGGAATTGACTAATGGAAGATAATGGATACGATGTGGCGGTTGATCAACAGAAGACCCAAGAAGAATTCTCACTCGAGATCTCTATGAATGCTACGCCCCGGAGTATCTGAAGAAATTTTGGGTTTGCATTGGATGTATTGTTCGGGTACCAAGAATTTAGGAGTTCATTCCATTATGGGCTAGGGAGCAAGCACGTAGGCACTGGGCAGATAAGAGTTAGGCCTGAATGCATGAATTTTCTCTTCTCCAAGTATAACAATGGGCTCGTTCGCTCCATGAATAATAAATGAATACCAAGAGCAAATGCTCATCTTGAAATACACGCTATTTTTTTTAACGCATTGTACTACATACCATACATGCAAATAATATACACCAGCCAAGTTCTCTCTTCCACTTGTACTCTATCCTTAAATCCCATCCCATCCCATCCCATTCCACACAAACAAACAAAAAACCCAACCCAAAATCCCACCAACAAACCCCACCCATCCATCCGTCCACTCCACTCCACTTCCAACAAACACTCCACCCCACCCCACCCCACCCCATCCCATCCCGCCGTAAAATCCAAAATTTCACATACATATATATATTCTAATTCCTCCCTCAGCACCATCAAATAGGACAAACATCTTATAACAAAAAGATGGCCTCGGTGGCACAATTGGTTAGCGCGTGGGCCTTTTAAGCCCAAGGTTGAGGGTTCGAGCCCCTCCCGAGGCGAAGTTTTCTTCAGATCCATTTTTGGGGGTGACTTGTGATATCTATATCTGTACCTGTTCATTGTTTTTGGAATACTAGATGATGATAGGCGGGTTTGCTACTCTTGATACCTAGGTACCTAGTTAAAGAATAAAATGAATGATTGGAATTTTGCAAATTTTTGAAAAGTTTGGAAGGAAGGGCGAGGAAATGAGTGAGTGGATTCTTCTTCATGGATCGATGGTCTTGAGGTTGGCCTGGTGGAGTTTTTGGATGAAGTGAGTGGGTTTTTGACCGAGAGGATGATGGAAAATCCCTACCACCGTTCTGGTTGTTGTATTGACACTGACATTTGCAACCTCAAATTGTCATCCGGTAGACGTGAGATTATTGGAGTCTTTCGGTGGCAGAAGCGTATTACTGGGACTCTAGTCGTTCGTTTCAATACCCAGCATGTATCAGGGAGAAGTTCGAAACTATTCAAAAGACTGATCTCGTTTTAGGATTATTACGATTCGGACATGGAATGAATTCACATTTTCATATTGTTTTAGTTTCACCAATTAATAGGATACCATTGTTAAATGTCATAAATCATGTTTTTGAAACCCTTCAATTCGCCATGCTGCTAAATACATGAAGACTCGAAATGAAAACAGAAGCTCAAGAGATGTGAAAAGGCTCATCTGTCTATCACATGGCGTGCGGCTAGCTTTTTATACCAAATTGGCTATCAAGCCGAAGTGGCCAACGAGCATTCGCTCAGAAAATCATGAAGCGCCGGAGCTTGAGATAATCTTGATGTGAAATGTGCATGGGAATATGGAAAGGACGGTATCTTTTATTTTGGAAATTCGTTCTTTATAGCTTGTCATAGTACTATTGAAATGATTAGTCAAATGTTTTTTTGCAAAGGGTGATGATATAATGTAAACTTACGTTCTCGTAACCTGGAACCTCAACCTTGATACCCTTACGTTTACGGAGCTCTTGGACGATTTGTCCAGTCTTGGAGGTTGCGTCAATTGGTGATCCACCTGGAAGAATTTGCCAATGATCGAAGATGGATTGCGGGAAGGCTTGACCGGAGGTGTGGGAACGGAGATCAGCGTTGAATCCGAAAGATTCACCGACTGGCAAGTATGCCTTAATGGTGAAAAGAGGAGTTCCTGGACGTTGCTCCTCAGCGAAGACGTGACCTCTTCTTCTGGTGAGAACACCGTAAACACCACCCATGGCAGATTCTGGTACTTGAATCTCGACCAAGAAGACTGGCTCGAGGAGACCTGGCTCAGCCAAGAGGGTAGAAGCGTACAAGACACGACGGGTAGTTGGCATGACTTGTCCGGAACCACGATGGATAGCATCAGCGTGGAGGGTAACATCCATGATGTTGAATCTGCAAGATCTCATTGGCTCTTCAGCAATTGGACCTTCTCTTGAAGCCCATTGGAAACCAGAGACGACGGAATCCTTGATTTCGTTCAAGTATTGAACAGCCTTGGTTTGATCAACCAACAAGTTGGCACCGTTGGTATCTGGACCGAAACACCAAATCTTACGGGCATCAGTGACATCCCATCCGTGCTCATCGGCCAAGATACGGGCACGAGCCTTGAAATCATCACGGGGACCGATCTTTCCGGCCTCGATCTCCTTGGAAACCTCCTCGTCGAGAGGCTCAGCGATCATGTAAAGACGGTTGTGCTTGTTAGGGGATTTGGAAAGAGCAGTCATGCTGGACTTGCCAGTGACGGTCTCACGGTATGGAACGACAGGGTCGGAGATTCGGAGAGGAACACCAGCGTGGTCCTCCTCGAGATCCTTCAAGCAAATTTCCAAATGCAACTCACCGGCACCAGCAACAACGTGCTCACCGGATTCGGAGATGAAAGTCAAGACACAAGGATCGGACTTGGAGAGACGCTTGAGACCTTCGACAAGCTTGGGGAGATCTTGGGCGTTCTTGACCTCGACTGAACGTTGGACGACAGGGGAGACGGAGAACTTCATGACCTTCAAGTTGTGAGCGGTGTCACTGGTGGTGAGGGTACCAGACTTCAACAAGAATTGATCGATACCGACCAATCCGAGAATGTTACCGGCTGGAACATCGTCGATAGGGTCGACCTTACCACCCATCATGAGAACGACACGTTGGATGGCCTTGATGAACAAATCATCCTTCTTGCCAGGGGTGTAGTTAGGACCCTGGATACGGACCTTCAAACCGGAACGGACGGTACCAGCGAAGACACGACCGAAAGCGTAGAAACGTCCCTTATCAGATGTTGGTACCATCTTGGAGACGTACAACATAAGAGGAGCCTTAGGGTCACAGTCACGGATACCAATGCAGGCCTCATCATCTGGAGGACCCTCGTACAAGGTCTCAGCACGGTACTTTTGGGCGGTAACTGGGGATGGGAGATGGAGAATCAACATCTCCAAAAGAGCATCAGCAGCTGGCAAGAAAGTACGCATAATAACCTTGAGAAGTTGCTTGCCCTCCTTATCCTTGTCATCTGGAGAAAGCTTGATGTTAAGCTTCTCGAGGAGAGTTGGGATCTCGTCCTTCTTGAAGTTCATGACAGCAGCGAAGATACGGAAAATTGGGTCGAGAATGAAC